CAAGCAAGATCCTAGGATCTTGATCTGATCCAGTCCTGTCTAGGATCATTGGTCCTTGGACCGGATTGAATGGGATGAACCGATTAACATCCCTAAATAATATCTATATCTACCTTATGCAATAAAAAATACAATTTTAAGAATTTGTATATTTCAATATTATTTTTGAAAATGTTTTTTTTGTTATATATTTTTATATATAATTCTTACTAAATATGTTAGAAAAAAACCAGCTTATACAAAATTAATAGGTCAGATTCATTATATATATAAATTCATTACTTGGTTATCAAAAATATCAATATCATAATTATTATTTATATAAAAAGAAAAAATTATTTTTATTGAAACGTGTAAAAATTAGATTCTTTGAAGAAAAACAAATAAAACTGACTGGTTATAATTATTTTAAGAAATCAAATTGGAACAAACTTATTTGAATTTATAAATAGAATATTTAAAGAAATTCTTGATTTAGGAATTGTACAAGAACATTTTATCGTGACAAATTACATTGCATACCAAATCACAGGGATATTTCGGCATACACAAAATTTCAAAATTCATGTACATAGCCACTTAATTGGATTATTGTGAAATTATGCATGATAGCTTTTCAATACATGCCAGAAGAATATATGGTATTCCTTCCAGGTCAAGATGGAGGAATATGTGTAACAGTGCCCAGCCCTTTTAAATGTGAATATAAAGAATTTATAACGATAATAATTTGTAAAAGTGAATTTCATTGGTGGAAAATTTTTCGGATGAAACTTTTTCTTTACTAAAAAATTTGCCGATCAATGCAATACGTAACATAATCAACTTTTTGATTTTCGTAGAACAATCATTTTCTCTAAAATTTTAATATTACGCACGTAATATCGATATCGATATGTTTAACACAATCTTTAACGTTAAATTTTCCAATTATTTGGATCCAGATCTTTAGAACTGATTTTACATTAAATAGATCCATAAAACTATTTATTCATAATGTTTTCTCTTCAAAGTAAAGAAGAAATGAACTATATCCAAATGAACCACCCCAACTACTCATTATGCATGATTTTCACATTTTTAATCTTATCAATACAAATCGAAAATATCCCAATTTCCGCCATGTCATTATTCTTAAATTCTCAAAAAATTAAACGTGACAACGAAAACCATTTTCCGCTATCACCAACTATTGTTGATGAAATCGACACACCACTCAAAAGTTCTATTGATGCAGATGGGACACACGGATACATTGGACTAGAGTTAAATGAGGATTCGGTTGAGGTCGTTGATAAAAATGCAAAAAATGATACTTTGGGTGGAAATTAATTCTACACGAAAGATGGGTTCAGAGCACTAATAAATACAATTCAATCCAATCATAAATGTCTTGTATTATTGTAATATTGCAACTATTTTTTTTATCCTTCATTTATCTTTTGACCAGCAACCAATCCAATTCCTTCACACTCAATTAAATATAATCCGTGGCTATCCTCCTGGCCTTCTTCAACTATATTAGAACTTACTACTTCATTGTTATTACCGAGTTCAGAAACCTCAAATCTGACTCCGGTCATTACTTGGGCGTAGTGAATCGCTGTGCGAGTATGTAATGTTGGTTTACCTGTTTTACGGAAAACATAAATCTGTAATTTACTCTATGAATAATGATGCAGTTTAGCTGATAATTTTACCCATTAATAATTGCGATTTTCCTTTCGCAAGTGCCATAAAGATAATCAGTTGATCCTGAAGAAATCTAGAAAATTTTCATTAAAAATTACGAATCGATCATTCAAATATATTATATCATCGTTGCTAAAAATGCTTACTCATCAACGCATCCACCCTGATTCAAATTAGAAACCAATTCTTTCGCAGCATTTTCACCAAGTTGTTCTGGTGACAAGTCTAATTGAAGATTTATCTTTTAGTTATGTATAACATATAAAGAATTTTGTAATCAATATTGAAAATTACCACGATCGAAAACACCACTTCCTGCCAATATACATCCTGTGCTTGTCTCAGCCCACAACCTAAAGAATTTCAATTATAAGGTATCGACCAACCAACTGCTTGTTTTTTTTTCAATCGGCAAAAACTTGTCATAGAAACATACACAATTTCAAACCCCTTTCCAGTAGATATTTTTTCGTGATTAACTTCAATTTGAGGATTTATTTGAGTTATGTTGTCTTCTCCTTTTAAACTGGCTTCATTCAATACTCGAGTTGCGCTTTTAATCATCTTTTGTGTCACCTGTAAAATTCATGATAAGAATATCTGCTATCGTTATTTCTTCAAATACAAAATTTCTTCTTGATCTACCTGATTTCCAGAATTTGCTACTGTAGCACGCCTATTTTGTTTCAAATTTCGTATTAAGAATCAGTTCGTAAATAGAAAACATGAAATCGCTGTAGTTTAACACATGAATAATAACACCCTTTAATGCTAACGATATGACCACGCTCCAACAAAGTAATTGGAGTTAACGCCTTTCCCACCAAAGGTTGAACTCGAAGTATTACTTCACCACCACCTTTCGGATAATATCTGTATACACGCACGAATTGCCATTAATGAAAAATACGAATAAAAAATCAAGAATAAATTATACATTTTTTTTATACCCTCGTCCAATTATATTCACATCGAAATTTAATCCGAAATGTCGTTCAACAATCGGTTTGAATACCTTTATAAAAAACCATTAGGTAAATACTAGTCATGAAATAACGAAATTCAAATGCGTATGACTTACTTCTATCACAAAATCAATTGGAGGTGCTGCTTTACTACTTGTACCACCTTTTAGAATGACATTTACCGCTGATGGTGGAGGACTAAAAATCGATTTTGGTGGTGATGCGGAAAAGAGTAGTGGCGGTAATGATATTTGAATCATTAAGGTTACACTCCTAAAGAACAAACATTTAGTTCTTTTTTCAATTACCGAGGATTACTTGTTAAATAATAATTTACCCAGCAGTTTTAGTGTCTGCCAAGAATGTAGTTGCTTCGGTGACATTATTAGGTTCAAATACTATCGCCTTTGAGCCTACCTTCATTAAAATAACGAATTAATAAATCAATAATTTTGATCATGATTGAATTATTCTAGATTCCTAGATTCGCAATACCTTATCGCCATTCAATTTAGCTTGATAAATATCACGAACTAATCGAAGACCCGTGGCATGTTGTGGTCTTAATCCTGAAGACACTTTGATTAATAAGAAACGATGATGAAGTTCATAATACGAAACTTTTGATTCAAACCTGGTTTATCACGACCTGCTCGAATATTTTCAATCTTTAATGATTTTTTCAATATACAACTATTTTGACGATTAAAAAATGGAATATGTACATGTATCATCAATCGATGATCGATTTCAATCAACAAACCAATAAATTTACCTGAATGCTACCACATTTCGCAAGACTATCCGAAAAATCAACAAATAAATAAAAGATTGCGTAATTTTAAATATAAAGAATCGAAAGAAAAAAGTACCTTGTCCACCACCTTCCAAAAGTGAACCATCAATTGTCAACATGTCTCTCGTCAACGAATCGGTCATCGTTTTATTTATAAATATTATATTGCGCAGTAGAGTTTATGTTAAAACTTTTATTGTGCCGTAATACGTATTTACGCCGCGATACGTAATAACGTAATTCAATCACCACCTAATATCAATATACGTAACGTATCGGTATATAGCGATAGCTACCCTAGTATAGAATCATACCCATATTTATCATATTTATATTTGTGTCATACATGTCATACATGTATACATCCGATTCCATCGATCACACCAATCATGCCACAATGCTCATTTTCGTGTTCATTGTTTATTGATTCACGCGTTTTATACATGTACAAAAAAAAAGCCGATAAATACTGCTCGAATTCAACTCTCACGAAAAATTTAATTAGTGATAACCAATATTATCGTTACTCTTAAAATGTCTAATCATGAAAAAAATTACATAGCGACAACAACACTAGACCCAAATCCAGTCAATTCATTTATAAAAGAGCAAGATATAACGGAAGAAAACGCAACATTTGTTGAGAATAAAGAAATCAACTTGAAACACGAATCACTAAATTCTTCACAAACAATAAATGAAAATGTTAATTCGACCGACAAGCAACATGAACAAGATGTAAAAACGCAAGATGAAGTGTTGGTTGATATTGTCGACACAAATAAGAAAGAAAATTTCGAGGATCAAAGTCAGATTTTGCCATTTAAAAAATTAATATTTGTTTTCGTGGGGTAAGTTAGGTTTTTATATCTTTTTATCATTCTATGTACACAAATTCACATATTCTTTACTTTTAGTTTATTATTGGCACTTTTCCTTGCTTCCCTCGATCAAACAATTGGTAATTCTTGTATTTAATCATCTATTATCACAAACAAGGAGCCTATTCAAAACATTGAAATATAAAATCCATAGTATCAACATGTCTTCCGAAAATTGCCTCAGACTTCAATGCTCTTGACAAAATTGCATGGGTTGGTACCGTATATCTATTAACAGCCACATCAGTTCAACCACTTTGTGGTAAGTTTTCGGATATTTTTGGACGAAAAGCTGTTTTCCTATTTGAAGTCATTGTATTCTTAACAGGAAGTGCGCTATGTGGAGCTGCTCGGGTAAATTGTCAATGCACATTGTAAACCAATAATTTCCTAATTATTGAATAACATATTTTTTCGATTTAGTCTATGACAACGCTTATTATTTTCAGAGCTGTTGCTGGATTGGTAATTATATTATTATATTTTTTAACTTGTTCCTTTTTCATATGCATTAATTGGTATTTGGTTCAATTATAGGGTGCAGGTGGTATTATTAGGTATAGTACGTATATGTATACAGTCAACTTTCTCTATAACGGGGTTCTGTTAGTAAAAAAAATTTTTTATATAATCTATAGAGCCCGCTACTCCTTCTATAACAAACTAATATAAAATTTAAAAATGTAAGGTTTGTTATATCCAGAGTTTGTGATAAAGAGGTTCGTTATAGAGAGAGTCGACTGTACATACATATCGATATATATATATATATATACGTATACGTATATATGAATATGAAATGTGAAATTTACTTGACTTATTATTATATAGTATGATTATGATTATAATATCGGACGTGGTTTCACTTCGAGATCGCGGAAAGTATCAAGGATTTATCGGTGGTATTTGGGGAATTGCGTCTTTCGTTGGTCCTTTAATTGGCGGTGCTCTCACAGATCATGCTTCTTGGGTAAGATTTAAATTTCAAGCTACCTCGGATTCATCAACATAAACTAAATTCTATTCTAATTTTGTATTGTCATTTATATGAACAACCAACCAAAAGCGGGTAAATATTTTGTTCCATTGTAATCAATCAATACGAGCTAAAATACAAATATTCAAATGCAAATATCCAAATCCAAATTTAGTGGGCATTCTACGTAAATTTACCTATTGGCTTGGGAACAATTATCTTAATCGCAGTTTTCCTTTCATTACGAAGCGTCTACGGTTCAATAAAAGAAAAGCTTGCACGAATTGATATATTGGGTAGTTTTCTAACATTTGTCAGTATCGTGTGTTTGATTTTACCAACAAACTGGGGAGGAAGTGAATACGAATGGAGCAACTGGAGAATCATTTTACTTTATTGTATTGGTGGTATTCTTGTCCTTCTCTTGATTTACGTTGAACTTCGAGTCGCCATTGAGCCAGTTATTCCCCCGAGCGTGTTCATGTATCGGACTGTAAATGCCGTTTATGTGACAAATTTCTTTGTGGGAATGGTGTTTTTTTCGTTGCTTTTTTTTACTCCGTTGTATTTCCAGGTATATTTCTTGTTTTTTAGCAATATTTTCAGCTATTATGTTTTCATTTATTATTTATAAATTACTAGGCTGTAAAAAATGCCTCCGCAACTTCAGCCGGTCTTCACATGCTCCCTCTCGTTTGTGGTTTTGTGTTATTTTCGGTTCTTTCAGGAATCGCATTTTCAGTAACTGGACACATTAGAGGGTTCATTTGGTTTGGCACTTGTGTGCTGACTATCGGTTGCGGACTTTTGAGTATGTGGGATGCAGACACGAATAGTGGCAAATTAATAGGATATTTAATCGTGACTGGTTGTGGAATAGGATTCGTCTTGCAGACTACTTTACTTGCAGCGCAAAGTGCTGTTCCCTACAAGGTAAACTATATAAGTTGAATAACAATATGACAATTCATATTTCATCTCGAGCATTTTATTCAATTTAATCTAGGAAATTGCGGTAGTCACTTCAATGGCGAATTTCTTCCGAGCTGGTAAATTTTCGTGTAAATCTCAAATTTTGTATAATTCTTTAATACTAATAATCTTTTTCTCCCGAAAAAGTCGGCGGAATCTTCGGATTAGCAATAAACGGTTCGGTATTCAATAACATTCTCAAAAGCCGGTTTATCGAAATCATCGCCTCCTCACCCGACGTACATCTAAACATCGACAACGCGAAAAACAATGTTCGATTGATATATGAGATTCCGGACCCAATATTGCGTGAAAAAGTCATTGATGCGTTTGCACATGCCATTAGTACAATCTATATGGTCGCCATACCGTTTGGCGTGCTGGCATTTGTGTCAAGTTTACTTTTGAAGGTTCGTATAATGTTTATGAAGAGTTGTTGGTTTGATACTTTGCCGATTGATCTTGTGTTATTTTGTTTTTCTTGTAGCATCATAAGATGCGTAAAAATCATGGAGCGAGTGATACCGCTACCGAATGATTGGGAGGGTTTGATGATGGGGGAATTTGTGTACGTTAACACGTAGGTATTTTGTAAATAGAAATAAGAACAAAATATAAAGCTCTCAATAATAAAAAGCTTTTCTCCAGCTATATCAGATATTACAGCATTTTTTGAATTGAAGCTTTATTTTTCATTACATAGACAACACAACACATGTACGACCTAGTATTTGGCTGCCAGACGACCAAGTGACAACACTGCGTACAACCCTTTCCTCATCTACGCTTCAAATCTTTCCCTCACAAAAGTCTATTCAACCTTACAACATTGATATAAGCTTTATCAATATCTTCAATCCCGAGCTGCGATCCATATTGTCCTCAAAATAATCCAGAACAAATAAACATCGTTATGGTGATTGTTTGAATATTGTCTCAACCAATAAGATGAGATAAATTGATAAAAACAAAAGATTTCCAATTATATTTTGATTACACAAAATGGTTAAATACATGTGAGTGATATTATAGAATAAAATTGTATTTTAATTATCGTCACTTAATACGTAATAAAAAATCAAATTGAATAAGACCATACAAACAAAATTTCTTGATTTTCATAACCCGACCGGGTCATGAAAACCAGTTTATGAAACTTAAATTTTAAGGCAGTCTAATATTGTATTGTAAAAAGCATTCGGTAACTTCAGGACGCGCGATATTTCGCGATTCAGTAAACGGATCGAAGCGATCTAACTATTATTATATATATATTGGATTTACAGTGGCTCACACATGTAACCGAACACGAAAAACAACTTTCTAGCATTTTTATTTCCATGGTTATTAGTTTGGACAAAATAAAAAAAGTGTTCATTTGAAACCCTGAAACCTCTAATATTTTTTAAAAATAATTTGACA